CTGGGCGCAGAACACGCGCTGCTGCTGGGCGCCGGGGGCCAGGTCTTCTCCTGGGGCGCAGGCCGGTGAGTGGGGCGCGGAATGGGGGGGTGGGAGGTGAGCGGCGGAGCCGCGGGCTGCTGACCCGCGCGCTGCTGACCCGCGCTGCCCCGCAGGCTCGGACAGCTGGGCCACAGCTCGCTGGAGGCGGAGCCGGCGCCCAGGCCTGTGGAGGCGCTGCAGGGCCTACCGGTCGTGCGCTTGGCAGCCGGCGGCTGGCACTCTGCCTGCCTGAGTGGTGAGTGCCAGTGGGCTAGTGGGCGCAGGCCGACCCTGCCTCTCCTCTGGGTGGCGGGGGCCTCCCTGCCGAGCTCCTGGGAACCCCGAAGCCCACACCAGGGCCAAGGCGTTGTCTCCCTAGCTGGGGGCTGTCCCTCAAACAGCTGCCCAGGGGGCAGGCAGGGGCAGGGCCGGCTGCGGAGGCGAGCACAGTGGACTTGCAGGTACCCACGCCAGGGTGACCATGGCCGGAGCGGGAGTGTCTTGGGCTGCTGATCGCGGCCCAGCCGCAGCGCGGGCTGGGTGACGCTCCTGGAGCCACACCTGGGCGCGGGCGGCAGGGCCAGAGGCCCGGGGGCCAGCCACGCGCCCACCTGCCGCGGCCGTGGCCTCTAGTCTTGAGAATAAAACGGAGCTGCTTTGTCAGTGGGGGTGTTGCCACAGAGCCTGTGGGGCGGCCTGGTCTGAAAGGCCGGAACAGGCGCAGGTGGGCACAGGGGCTTAGGTGACGGGGCCCGCAGGGTTGAGGGAACCCCGCTTTTCCGTTCCAGAGGCCGGGGATGTTTACATCTGGGGCTGGAATGAGTCCGGGCAGCTGGCGCTGCCTGCCAGGAGCCTGGCGCAGGGCGGGAAGGCCTTCGAGGGGGCAGGTGAGGCCCGGCTTCTGTCTCCCGGGTGTCACCCCGGCTCTGAGCCAGGGGCTGGCCTGGGAGCCCCAGTGCTGACAGGGACGCCGAGCAGCGGGAGGGCCACAGGCCAGCCCACGTGCACTTCCGGCCTGGCCTGGCCAGGGCCGGGAGCACCTCGGGGCGAGGCCAGCGCTGGGCCGGCGGTTAACTGTCGCTCTCGTTGCTGCCGCGGCGGCCCTGAAGCCCCCGGCCCGGACGGAGACGGCCCTGAGGTGGCGGCGCAGGCGGGGGCTGAGGCCGGAGCCCCGTTCATAGCGGTGCAGCCCTTCCCCGCCCTCCTGGATCTGCCCCTGGGCGCCGACGCCCGCGAGGTCAGCTGTGGGTCCCGGCATACAGCGGTGGTGACAAGTGAGTGCGTGGGCCCCCCTCAGGCCTGGCTGCAGGCGGTGTGGTCCCCGAGATGTGAGCTGGGGTGCAGGCCAGAGGTGTGGAGGTGAGAGGGCTCACCAGAGAGTGGGGAGCAGAACAGGTGGGTGGACTGCGACACTGCTGAGGGGGCAGCGGGGGACGGGAGGGTGGAACCAGGCGGGGGTGAGAGCTGGCGGCGCCTGAGACCCCGGCCGCAGGCCCAGTTGGAGGCCCCAAGCTGTGGCCTGGGCAGTCCCCCACGGGAAGGCAGCCTCCAGGCACACCCCGAACTGCCGCGGCGGCCCTGGGAAGGCTGGGGGTGCCCAGCGAGTTGCCCTCTCTGCTCTCGGTTGCAGGCAGCGGGCAGCTGTACACCTGGGGCTGGGGTGAGTATAGCTGCCCCCGCGTGGGGGTGGAGCCTGGGAGCCCTCGGGGCTCCAGAACAGCCGTGGGCAGAGCTTAGGGCCCCACAGGAGGGCGAGAGGAGGCGACTCCGACCCGCCTCTGGGCAGCGCTTACAGCACGCCCTCAGCTCTGGGCAGAGGAGAGATAGGCGGGGACCCCTGGGCGTGCGAGCCATGGAGTGGCCACTGGCCTCTTGGGGCCCCGAGGCCCACCTGGGCCTGGCAGCTGTGGCCTCCCTGTCCTGGCGTCACACTGGGCTGGGCTGGGCCCCGCTCCTTCCTGGAGGGGCTTGGCCAGCGGGGAGGATGGCCTGGCCTGTCTTCCCCCAGGCAAATACGGCCAGCTGGGCCTCGGGGACACAGCCAGCCGGGACCGGCCCTGCCGCGTGGACTACTTTGTGGACAGCCGCCTCCAGGTGAGGGCCGTGCACTGCGGGCCCTGGAACACCTACGTGTGCACCGTGGCGCAGCCGCAGCGCTGACTGGTGAGTGGGCCTGGCCGGGTCGGGGCGCCAGTCCCCGCCGGCCCCCCCACCCCCGCCGCACGGGCTCAGCCCCGGGGGCTCCTCTCTGACTCCCTTCAGCCCCCCGCCCGCCCGCTCGTGTCCCCCAGCCTGGTCCTGGATGGGGGACGGACACAGCAGCCCTAGAGCCTGGTAGGGTGGCGGCTTGCCTTCCGCAGGACCCAGGGCAGGGGCGCCCCAGCCCTGGCAGAGGGCGTCAGCTGGGTCTCCCCACACCCTGAGGTGGTGGCTCCGCTCTTCGCTTGTTTACTGGGCGTCGGGGGAGCGCCACAGCGTGACGGGGCCGCTGAGGCTGCGTGAGGCCCGCAGGCCGGGGTCGGGGCCGCAGGCACTCAACACGACTCGCCGACCCCACAGCCACCCTCGCCCCTGCCCGGCGTCACGGAGCCGGCCGTGCCGTTCCCACTGCCGCCTGTGTCGGGGCCGTCGGGCGGGCGCCCCTGTGCTCGGTGGCCTGGCCGGGCCGGGGTGTGCCCACCTCCCTGCCAGGTGCTTCTAGTGCTGACCTTGGGGAGCTCTTTCTAAAACGTGGAGTCTGCGCCTTTTTCGCCTGTTACTTGCAGACGATTCCCCCCGTCGACAGCTAGCCTGGCTTATTCACCTAGGCGCACAGGTCTGGGGCGCAGGCCAGAGGTGCAGGGTGGAGAGGGCTCCCCAGAGACAGTGGGGAGCAGAGCAGGCGGATTGGCGAAGCCCACGGCTGAGGGGCGGCGGGCGGGCCGGAGAGCTTTGCTGCACCCAGGGGTTGAACTCAGGCCGCTGTGGCTGTGGCCAGTGTCGTCGTGCTGTCACCGGCTGGCCGCCGGGGGGGCCGAGCCTGCTTCCTCTAAGTGTCTTACACGGGACGGAAGCTGTCAAACAGCCGTGTGGGTCTTGCTTTATGCCACCTGCAGTGACACTTTGTTCAGCCCGACGCCGTACTTGAGCAGTTGCACAACGCTGCGCGTGGCCCTCTAAGCTGTTTTGCCTTAACTCAGGCCCGGATTGGGCAGAGGCCACGTCCCTCCCTCTCCTGAGGAAGTGCACATCCAGTCGTCCCGTCGCCGTCTGGACACCACAGCCCCGCCCTGCCGTGCACCTTGTCAAAGCCTCTGGCCCTCTGCAAGGCCTGCGACTGCGTCTTCTGGTCTCTGTCTCCATGGCGACCGTGGAGTCTGCTCGGCTCTGACGGCAGCTGCATCCGACCTGTAGGCTTGGCGAGGTCGCGGTCCCCGCGTCCAGTGCCCGTCCGGCCTCCTCGTCAGCACCGTGCTGTGGTTAGGCTCATGCACGGGCGTATTCTGGGTATTTGGTCAGTTTTGGCTTTCCGTTGTCGGTTGCTGGCATATAAAGCTAAGGGTGGCTTCTGCACACCGGCCTCCTGTTCTGTGGCCTTTCTACACTGCAAGGGGCTGGTTCCTGGAAGGCCACACACCGTTTGCCCTTTGGAAACACAGGCCCTTCCGCCGAAGGTCGGTCCTGTCCACTTCAGTTAGCCTGAGGCACAGGGAGCACGTGCGACAGGGCCCCCGAGGCCCGCGCAGCCCCGCTGGGGAGGGAGCGTGTGGGCAGCGGCCCTCCCGGGGAGCCTGTTGCGGGAACTGCTGACACCTTGCTGCGGCTGCCTGAAGTCGCCCTCCTCTGGCCCCTGGCTTTGCCCGCCTCGTGCAACACAAGCCCTTGCCGAGGCGGACAAGTCCCCCCCGGCTTTCTCTGGGCGCCGTCCTGTGGCCAGGCAGTGGGGGTGTCCGAGTGCAGAGCGGTTCCCGCAGCCGGGGCGGGGTGTGCGGGGCGCGGTGCCACCCCCCACCCCCACCCCCCCATCGAGTTTCAGCCCGTGGTCCTGTTGGGTTAGGGACAGCTGACCATATGGAGGCTGTTCTTCGTTTCCTGAGGGCCCTTCACGCAGTGACTGCAGTGTCCACTCCCACCGGGAGTGCGAGAGCTGGTCCAACACACGGTGTCAGCGCGTCGTGACTTTGGGGCGCTCGTCAGAGCCTCAGCGATGCTGACACCTTCCCGGACCTGCGCCCATGTTTTAAAATAGGTTTTGTAGAAGAGCTGGGGTGTGGGCCCGGGGCCCGAGACAGTGGGGAGCAGGACAGGCGGAGCCACTGAAACTCTGAGGGGGCAGGAGGGGCCTGCTGCGCCCCGTGGGTCACTCCCTGGCCAGGGTGGCTCGGCTGCAGGGCCGGCGGGCAGCTCCACGCGCGGCACCACCAGGGAGGCCCAGGGACGTCCTTCATCTAGAAGTGCAGAGGAAGCGCCACATTCCTGTCAGAATTCTCATATGTCCTTTGGTCTCTGTTTTTCAGACCAAACCAACCAAAGTGCTTTCAGGGGAAAAAGGAAAAATACCTCACGGTGCCTTGAAGTAAGTATGCGCGTATTTTATTTTCAAGAATGCAGTTTTAAAAACAGGCCCGTCAGCCCTGCCCCTGCCAGAGCCTCTGGCGAGCTGCTAACCGCTCCAGGGGCTGGCGTGGGGGAATAAATAGTGCTGGGGGGTGCAGTAGTGTCGTGGGGGGGCGGGACCACCCGCATGTCGTGTGCAAAGTTCTGGCTCTCCGGGCCAGTTGTGCCCAACCCGGCCGCGGTGCCCGACGCGGCTGCAGGGCGACCGCAGGGCGGGAGTGGGCTGGCCCGGGGACGGCCGCAGCCCAGGCGCCTTACTGAGGCGGTCAGGGGCGAGGCGGACCTCCTGGGGCAGCCCCAGAGCCAGGGGGAAGCGCGGCCGACGACCGGGTGCACGCGCGTGGTGCCCACCCCGAGGTGGGCTCTGCAGCCTCTTGCCCGGGTGGGCTGCAGGCGGCCTGGGGTGCGCTGGAGCGAGTGAGCGGGGCAGAAAGCGGCTCCGTGCGCTGACATCTGCAGCGACTGCTATGGGCTGACTTTGAACATGTTTCTTGAGTGAAGATAAAGCCGAGTCCTTGGGGACTCGCGGCGCCCATGCTCATGCTGCGCAGGCCCGCGGTGGTGGTGCTTGTCCGGTGTCCGGCACCCCGAGTGCAGAGGGCAGCCCTGCGCAGCCAGGCCCGTCTGGCACCAGAAGCCACAGTGGGCTCGCCAGCGCGTCTCAGGACTGGATGTTGGTCGAATTGAGGACTCGGGAAGTAGCATCAGATCTGGAAGCCTTTGAAAGTTCTCGCTGTTGGAAGACAGTCAGTCAGTGACCCTGCCCGCAGGAAGCCCGCCCCGGGGCGGGCCCAGCACAGGGCCCGCAGGGCTTGCCAAGACAGGCCAGCACAGGCTGTCAGGATGGGGGGCTCGGCCCCCTCCTCTGAGGCAGCGTGTGCCTGCAGCCCCACCCCCAGCCCACTGGTCCCTAGCCCTCAGGCGAGAAGCCCCTGTGCGCCATCAAGTCTCCCGCCTTGTCCGGCTGGGCAGGACCAGCTCTGGGCTCAGCCCTCTGTGACCGGGGGAGGGGGGCGAGGGCCTCACTGCTCGCTGAGCTCCTGCTGGAGCGCCAGGTGCAGGACGGCCAGTGAGGCGCGCGTGCTGGCTGTGGCGCTGCCTGGGGTATCTGCCGCAGCCCCAGGCGGGCCGTGGACAGCAGGCCTCTGCCCACCGTCAGCCTGGCGACAGGCAGCGCTCTGCACAGAGCTGCACCGGCGTCACGCGGGAGACGTGCTGGACAGGAGCTGGCTCTGGCTCTCGGGTGAGCGCTGTCCCCGTCACTGCAGCGGCAGGCGCTGGCGCTAGCTCAGTCTGCCCCACGTCACCCAAGGGGGGGGCAGCCGCGGCTCTCAGGAAACTAAACTGGCTCACTGAGAGAGGGAGGACACACCTTGTCGAGGCTCCGCAGTAAGGCTTCGTCAGCGTGGACGGGGGTGGGAGCTAAAGAGCATTTGGGCGATGACTTCCTGCAGTGCCCCTGGCTGCGGAAGCAGCTCAGTGTAGCGGAAACAGGGCGGGGCGAGGGGGCGAGCGCCGCTCACCTGGAGCAGGTATGGCCGCAGCAGCCCAAGGTGGGAGGCCTGTGCTCCAGGGAGGGGTCAGCGGCGGCCCCCACGTGATGGGGTCGCCACTCTGCCTCTGGTGTCACCACCAGGGAGCTGAAACAACATAGCCCCACTGGGAGTCAGGCCTAGTGTTTCTGAGACCCCAACTCGAGCATGAACAAGTTTCCTGTTCAGCAGCAGGTTGGTCAGGCTCTTGTCAGATGGAGCAACAGGTCGCGCTCAGGCCCGTGGGGAGTCCCGCCACCTTCGTGACACAGGCTGAGCACGCTGAGCGCGGTGGAGACAGGCGGGTCCCCAGGGGGGACACAGGGTGCCACACAGACCTGGGGCCCCACAGAGGAGCTGTCGGGGAGGGTGGGTCCTTCTAAGAGCAGAGAATTGAGACAGTGACCGGGACTCCGCCAGGAGAGTCCAGGGCGGTGGGTCCGGGCCGTGTGTGCGGTGTCTGCCGCCTCCCCGCCCCGCCCCGGCCTCGGCCAGTCAAGGCAGGAAAGGGATTCTTGGCCTCCGCGGCTGTCCTAGCTCGCCTGGGGACACCCTCTCTGCCCCAACTGTGTGCCCCGAGACTGGTGGATACTAGAAAAGGTGAATTACCGCAAACTCAGAATAGGTGCTGGCAACAGAATTAATGCTGAAGTTGCGCTGGAGGGGGGCCGAGTTGGGGTACCCACCGCTCAGGATGCTGCCGTTGAGCTCGAGGTTCTCCTTGTTGGCGCCGTGCCTGCCGGCGCGGGGTGTCTTTCTCGCCGAGCAGGTGGAAGTGCCTGGCTGTGGGGGAGAGCCGTGTCCCTCCCGTGGCCGCGCACGGGCAGGCAGCACAGCCCGGGTGTTCGGGGGCCAGCACGTCAGCCCCTGCACCCCACCCCCCAATGCTCAGGACCAACCCAAGGCCAGGCTGGGCGCGGATGCCGTGGTGACCGCCACAAAGGCTGGTCGGCACGGGGGGGGAGGGGGGGGCACTAACCTTGCTGCCAGAAGGTGGGAGTCGAGACACGGGAGAGCGGTAGACGGTGCCCCCGAAGGCGGGCCGAATGCTGCTGTTGGCTGTGGCGTTGGACATGGTGGTCGTGTTCAGCTAGGAGAGGACAGAGCGCTTGACATGCGTGGACGCAGCCCAGCCCGACACACAGGCCTGAGCCCAGGCAGGAGCTCCGGGCGCTGCCGCCATTTTGGTTCTTGAATGACACCCCCTGCCACAGCCTTTCACCCCCAGGTGTTGGCCACACAGCAGGAGACCGAGATACTGGGCAGTCGCTGAGAAAGGGGAGCATTCGGAAGCCCCAAGAATTCTCTGTAATCTGGACAGCAGAAGGCTCAGCCCCACGAGTATGCAGGGGATGCAAGCGAACACCGGAGCAGCCTGCTTCACGCCCCGCGGACACGGGTGTCAACCCTGAAGGCACTCGATGCTGGCAAGGCAGCGCGGCCCGGCTCGCCCCAGGGGACGCTGCCCGGCCCACAGGCATCAGACAGGCATCAGGGAGGGGCAGCTTGGAGGGCACAGGCCCTGAACGGGCTGGCAGGCGCTCTCGGCCCTCTGGGAGGCCACCTTAGTGACTTGTAAACCCTCCCTGTGTCATAAAATACAAGCTGAGGAAGAAGGGAAGGGAAGGAACGCTCCTTCATCTGTCCAGGTCAGAAAATGGGGCCTGACGCCCCCTTCAAGCAGAGGTCCCCTTTCACGAGGTACACGGCTAGGGCTGCAGCCTCAAGCCTCTGGGATGAGCTGCCGCCTGCTACTCACACTCCGGTGGGCTTCATGGCCTGGGGGTCACCAGCAGGACACAAGACCCAAGGTGGCCTTCACGGCCTGGTCGCAAGAGCCCTGCTGAACTGTGGCTCACGGGGCCTCACCTTGCGCACTTTGCCGGGTGTGCTGGGCACCGGCCCTCGGCGCTTGCCAGGCGTCCTGGGGGTGCTGCCATAGAGCATCTCCGTCTCCGTCTGCTGCTTGTTCTTCAGTTGCTGTGTGAACACCAGGTGCGATGCTGGCTTGGAGAGCGGGTCTGGGTGGGGCCGGACCCTGGGCCTCGAGCTGGGAAGGGCAGCGCTGGCCCCGAGGCTCCCCAAGTTGTGTCCACTCACCCTCTCCTGCTTGGCTCGCTCCTTCTCCAGCCGATGCAGCTCCCACTGCTCCGTCACGTATGCCATGAACTTCTGCCCATTTACCACAAACGCCTTGGAGTGCTCCTGCTCCCACTTCTCGATCTGCGCCTTCAACTCCTCTTCCAGCTAAGACCAGAAACAAGGCCACACGTGAAGCCAGGTGAAGTGACGCTCGCCCAAGTCCTGGACCCAGGAGGTGACTGGGCAGGAGTCACGGCGTGGGGAGGGAGGGCCGGAGTCTGAGCCTAGCAGCTGCAGCGGCCCAGGGCAGCTGGCCAAGCGGGTGGGCGTGACAGGCCAGCAGCACCTGGCCTGGCCTGCAGGCCCTGAGCAAGTGGCGAGAGGCAGCATCACTTCCTGGCGCCTCACTCCTGTCTCAAGACCTCAGAATGATGGAAAAACCAAATCGCTGGAACAGCACTTTGTCATGCAGTAAGGGCGGCTTCTTAGAGGGCAACGAAGCCCTCAGCACTTTGTACTTTTCCTTTTGCTACTGGCTCAAGTCCGCCCCCCTCTCAGACTCCCCACCCAATCTCAAGTTGAAGCCCTGACCCTCAGGTGAAGAGGGGGCCCTAGGCTGGGCCCTGAGAGAACATGACTGGTGTCCTTTGAAGCAGCTCGGACATGGACACATACAGCCGCCCGAGGCCCGGAGAAGCGCCCCAGGAGAGCAGCCCAGCTGGCACTGTCCCTCACACCTCAGCTGCCGGAACAGGAAGACACACCTCCTGCTATTCAGAGTCAGGCCTGGTGTGAGCAGATGGGCTCGGCCTGGCTCTCCATACTTCAGGGAAGGCTCACGGCTGCCTCCTCACCCTCATCTAAGCTTTACCTTTCAAGACAGTTCTAGGCCACCTGACTCAAAGCAAAGATAACAAAGGCAGCTATTTTATAGCCACGCACCAAAACCTTAGCACCGGCATTACCTTAGGGAGTGTTTTCTGGAGCTTGGCTCGTTGCTTTTCTTCTTTTAGAAGATTTCCTCCACGGTTTGTGAATCGACTTGGATCGGAAGCTTTTCTCTGTGGAAAATGCATCAGTGAGACACTCCCTGGGAATCAGACCGGTAACTTCTGGATGACTTGCTCTCCAAGAACAGTGTCCAGGCGGCTGCGTGAGCATGCCCGGGGTGCAGGAAAGCTGTCATTTCCCGTAAAGCACCACAGGCCTTTGCGCCCTGCCGCGGAAGCTCAGCCCGCCCTGAACGCACTTCAGCAGAGGCAGCGCCAGCAGACGGACGTCCACGCAGGGCTTGTGGGCCTGCTGCCCTCCACTAAACTAACCTCCTCAAAACGGGTGAACGCCAAGTGGCAAATGCTGGGCTGCTTTTTAATGGTGCCGGTGTTCTGTTGCGTCTAGTAGGTCAGAACAGCGCAGTATGTGACCGGTGAGTGCGAGGGAGCCGCTCGCTCGGGGGCGTCAGCGGCGCCGTTCAGTCAGCCGTGGCAGCTCAGCCTTGGCAGCCCTCACCTTTCCCTGGTCTCTCCACTTTGGAGTCCTAATTCCCCACACCAGAAGGGCTTGCACGAGGAGTCCCTAGGGGCCCTCCAGCTGGGTCAGGACGGCTCTGGGATTCGTGGCCGAGGTGCCCCCGCCAGGCTGAGGGGCCTGTCTGGGAAGGAGAGGAGTCCACTGCGCACAGAAACACGCCCTGTGCCCAGGCCATCTGAGAACTGTGGGAAGGTCAGGTGGAGACTGCGCCAAATGCCTGCCCAACCTCATGCTTCGCCCCTCCCTGGCAGCCGAGCTGTGGCCTAGTAGCTCTTGCAACTGTCCGCGCTTTGCCAGCGACTGAGCAGAGCTGCTGTGGCGCCAGAGGGTCTGCCTGCAAGGCGCGGGCACCCGTCTCCTCTTGCACAAGGCTGCATGTCACCACATGCCAAGGGGGCTCGCGACCGCCCCTAAACACGGATGGGGCCCCACTTTGAAGCCAGGGTCCCGAGGGGCTGGACTGGCCACTCTGTCTGCACTGCCTGCCAGTGGGCTTCCCTCACACAGGAAACCCACTCAAGCCGTTTACTGTGGAGCTGTGTGTTCCCTCAGGTGAGCGGACGGGCCTGCTGTAACTCGACACGATCATGGGGCACCGGAGCCCAGTAACAAGCAGAGGACACTGGCCTGACACAGCCGTCCTTGGGGTCTTGAGCACACAGGGCCTAGGGCAGTACCTCAAACTCCAGGAAGAGCCGCCAGCTTTCTTCCCACTTCTGGACGCCCTCAAAGAGCTCTCTGTGCACCTCGTAGTAGCTCCGTAACTGCACAATCTCAGCATCGTGGAGCTGGAGCAGCGTTTCCGTGTAGTCCTCTGCAAGGCAGAAATGGGGCCAGCCTCAGCGGCAGCGCCACGACTCCACAGGAGCGTGAGATGGTGTGGGGCTTGCATGTCGAGCCTACAGTTGGGCTGAACCGTCTCTTGCAGTGGGTGACTGGACTGGGCGGGCAGCGCCAGCCAGCGCTGGCCTTCCAGTTTCCATGCTGTCTCCAGGCCCTGCCCACGCACGCAGTAAGGACCGTCCAGGTGGGGCCATCCAACCCGTACCACAGGCCTGCGGTGGCTGTGCACCAGTCACACCTGCTGGCAGCCGGCCTGGGCCACCTGACTGAACATGAGGGTGCTGGGCAGGCTCGAGTGAGGACGCCTGACCGCATCGTCTGTGCCTCTCCGCCTCGGGATGCGGCCTTAAACCCGAGTTGGTGCAGTGTCTGAGTGGGAAAAGGAACACGTGGAGCAAGACGGCCGGCGCCGGAGCAGAGCCAAGGGTCAGGCCTGCAGGCGGCGAGATGAGGCCGCGCTGTGAGCACCTCATGTTTGCCATCTGGCTCCCAAGCTGCATTTCCCCAAGTGTGGCTCCAGGGTACGTGGAGGAAAACCACACAGCTCCTCCCCAGAGGGACGTGTGAGTCCAAAGCTGCTGCTCAGCCGCCTGGCTTTGATGGAACAGCTACTCTGGAAACTCGCAGGGGCTGGCACAGGCATGGCCTTGGTCTTTCGCCTCATCGTTGGCCAGTGACAGCCGACAGAAAGGCTCTGGAGAAGGCCACAGCAAATCGAATCCATGAGCTGCCTCCCACCTTGTTATGGCCTCGTAGACCACCGTGCCTCAGCAAAGCGGGTGGGCTGACTTGCGGCCTGGTTTAGTGGGGCTTATAGAGGCCTCCCCTTGCCCCTTGTTGAGGTCAGGTTCAGGTGAGCAGAATAAAAAGTAAAACAGCTTCCTTCCCTGCCGTAATTTATAGGAGTCTACCAAGCACCTGTCTTCTCTCTCTGATACTAAGCTTGAAATAATTCCAGTAAAGGAAGTTTTAAAGAAATTTATTTCTCAGCTAAAACTTCTTCAGTAATAGGGCTGAGGGGAAACAAATAAAATCAGACACATAAAATCAGACACATCATAAAAAAATCAACCCTCCCCTACCTTTTGCCTAAAGCAGACATGCTCCCTCTGGAAGACATGCTCCCTCTGGAGGACTACTAGCAACTACTAGTGGGCTAAAAACAGTTAGCAGGGGAGAGCTTCCCTGGTGGCCTAGCGGGTTAAGGCTCTGTGCTATGGCGCTGCTGCAGCTGCTGCTGGCCCGAGTTCGAGCCCCAGGCCCAGGCCCAGGGAGCTGACCCACCTAAGGTGCAGAGGGCCTCACCCTCCTGCCCACTGCGCTACCTAGTGGTGTAACTTCCAGCCTTCCCATCTGTTTCTCTCTCACCCCCATCTTCTCTCCCCCCTTCCCATCTGTCTCCGTCTCCCTCCCCCCGCCTCCCCTCCTCCCTCCCTTCCCATCTGTCTCCATCTCCCCCCCGCCTCCCGTCTCCTCCCCCCCGTTAGACTTCAGGTAGGACTTGGTAGGACTTGCTGATGACTAATCCTTCCTGCTACTTCCGCTTCCTGCCGCGCTTCCTTCCTATCCTTCCGCTACTTCCGCTTCCTCCTTCCTATCCTTCTCTTCCTTCCTACCTGCTACTTCCTTCACATCTTCCTACCTGCTAGCTTCTGTACTAACCATCTGTACTAACCATCCTGCTAGCTTCTGTACTAACCATCTGTACTAACCATCCTGCTAGCTTCTGTACTAACCATCTGTACTAACCATCATAGTAAGGCGTGAAAGCCTGTCTCTGCTCCTGGCTGTAGAAACAGCGGTCCCAGTACTGAGCCAGCTCCACTCGAATGGCCTCAATCACTTTCTTCATGTTTTGCATCTTCAGTACTAACCATCTGTACTAACCATCCTGCTAGCTTCTGTACTAACCATCCTGCTAGCTTCTGTACTAACCATCTGTACTAACCATCATAGTAAGGCGTGAAAGCCTGTCTCTGCTCCTGGCTGTAGAAACAGCGGTCCCAGTACTGAGCCAGCTCCACTCGAATGGCCTCAATCACTTTCTTCATGTTTTGCATCTTCAGTTCTTCCAGCCGATCCACTTCTAGCCGCAGCTGAGTGAGAGAGGCGAGGCTAAAATCAAGCCACTAGAGCTCAGCCCATCCCTCAGCCCATCCCATCTTTGTAACACGCTGTGGACTTCGTGGTGCGCTTTGTGGGGTTTCTTACCGCCTCCCTGACTTTGGCCTTTGACCCGGCCATAATGTTGGCCACAGCCTCTCTCTCTTCCATTGGTATCTGCAGCCGGTCCCAGAGCTCTCGGATCTGAGCACGCAGCCCCTCACATATTGCTTCATTCTGTGATTTTCGCATTTCCAGCTGTAGTGAGGTGGCCAGTGGTTACCGAGTGAAAGCAGCAGCAAAGGCTCCCCCCCTCCCGAAAACACCTGTCCCATCTGGAGGGCAGCGCGTGGTCGTTGGTCATTACTTGACAAAGGTACCACCCTACACCACCCCCATTAAAACTCAATTTTGAATAGCTTCTTCACATAAGCATTCGCTAATTCCAGGGACTCATATGGCTTCATCCAAAGCTTCAATTTCATTCTTTGGGACACGTAGTTTTGTTTTAAAAAGTGGATTATGATGTTTGTTCTCCCTCATTCTGTGTTCCTTACTTAAGACTGAAGGGGGAAATGCTTTTCAGACGGTTGGCTACGTCGGCAGCCCCAAACGACCCCAAAGGACTTTACCTGCCGCAGCAGCTTCTGCAGTGCTGCAATGTTCTCCAGCGATAAACAAAAAGCATCTTCGTCTTCACATACAACATCGCGCTCAAAGCTCGTGTCGGGCGTGTGATCCAGCTCTTCCATGCACAGTATGATCTGCTTCTTCGTGCTGACGAACTCCTCCCGCCTGGACGCCTAGGAGACACCAGGGTCACGCGGGCCGGGCCGGGCCGGGCTGGGGGCCTGGAGCCCGGCTGCCAGCGGCGTGCTTACCTTGGTCTCGCGCAAAGTTTTCAGGTGCTGCCTGAACCGGCCCAGCTCCTCTAAGGTGGGAACCGGGGCGCAGTCGATATCATAGTGGGGCATGCAGAGAATCTCACACAGCTCTTGGTCTTGTTCTTGGAGCAGCTTCAGTTCTTGCTTTCTCTCCTTTTTCTGTCTCCGCATCAGTTCTACCTGAGTGCGCAAATCCTTCTCCAGCTGCAAGATGGTCGTCTCCCCTTCTTCCTGCATGGGACAGTGAGTCCTTGGTGTCACGCACACGTGGGTGGTGTGCGACAGCAGAGGGCAGTGGCAGAGGACTCAGAGGGCAGACGTGCAGTTACACTTTCAGAGAAGTCAGTTCGTGATGGTATGGTGCTGAGACATTTCCTACTTAAGATCTCAAACAAGGAAAGAGACTTTGGCCAGAGGTGAGGACTGACTGGACTATGGACATGCTGATTTTTAATGATGCACAGATGTCACATCTCAGACTCATGAAACTTAGATAATTTTATTTTTTTACAAGCATATCTAGAGTTTTGGGAGAGCATTTTTGCATAGAAGAACTGGGGTGTAAGCCAGAGGTACCAGGGGGAGCGTGGGGGGAAGGGAGGGGCGTCAGCAGAGGCAGAGTATGGAGTACAGCAGGTGTACTGACTGAAACCCACTGCCGAGGGGAGAGGCCTGCTGTGCCTGTGGGTCACTCCCCTGGCCAGGATCGAACTCTGACTCTAGAGGGGATAATGCTAAGACGTTTAACCCCTAGGCTGCTAGGAAGGCCCCTTATATAAATCAGTTTTAAAAAGTGGCCGGAAAGCTTGTTTCAGCTACTTGTTCTTCTCTTGATAAATTTAAGAAATAAGAGGCAGTTAGTTGTATGTCCTACAAGGTCATACAAATTTTCTCAGCATCAGTGAACTGGACACTGTCATGTGCTTTAAGGGAGATGGACCTCTGCTTACACAGCCTCCCACCAAGGTGGTGTTCACGTCACAGTGGAAGTGACAAAACGGCCCACCGTGGTGACGCAGGGGTTGAGTCTCAGCACCAGCACCCCTTCACTGTTGTGGCTGAGTGGGACTCCTGGCTCAGTAGTGACCCACAGGAGCAGACCCCTCCCGTCTCCCGCTGCCCCCTCAGCAGTGGATTTCAATGGGCCTGTCTGTTCTACTCCCTACTCTATCTCAGGCAAATCATCTCGTTCCCCGCACCTCTGGTCTGTACCCCAGTTCTTGTAGGCTCAATAAATCAGTCTTTAAAAAAGATACAAAAACAATAATAAACTGTTCAAAGCAATCATATTTGCTATTTCTATTGCACTCCAAAAACTTCATCCATGTCACAACTGACTCGGCTGCTCTTGGCTGCCAGCGTTGGTTCTCCTTGACCCTGCAAAGCGGTCTGCCGCGCAAGCTGATACCACCAGACACCTGAGCTGTTCTTCCTGGAACAAGAGAGACCTGAGAAGCTGTCCTTTCTCTCGCCATCATGCACTGGCCTGCAGTCTCCTCCCCAGACTTCACTGCTGCTTTCATTTATAGGACCCCAATGCAGTCGTTACTGCTTTTAGCAAGGCACCTGTTCTGAGGCCCCATCTGCCATCATCTGTGCCGGCAACCTCCCTGGGCCTCTGACCTGTGCTGGCCCGTGGCACACTGCTTCTCAGCCGGCCTCCGGCAAGCACAGCACGCTGAGACTGACTGTTCTCCTGAGACTCAGCTTTAGGAGGTCTCAGCTTTAGGGGGTCTTACCTCCAGTCACTGTTGTGGCTGGTTCAGTGGTGTGCAGTTTCTGCGTACGGAAAAATCTACAAACGCAGGACTAGGGGTAACGTTCCCTGATATAATCAGACACTTTTTGCTCCCTACACAGCTCCTTTCATTTCCCTTTAAAAAATATCACAGCACCATCTGTGCCTGGCCAGTCCTCAGGTTAAAAAAAAAAAAATGTCGTCTGCTCTACAGATTGACAGTAAGGGGAAGCTCGTTTTTGATAAAAAATAAGCAACACTTACTGTCTCACCTTTCTAAGAGGCAACTCTTACACAGATGACAGTAGCCATGTGGGGCCTAATAACTAGGTGGTGCGGCGCGCTTCTGTACCTCACGTCCATGGCCCACGTGGACACCCCTCCAGTTCAGACCCCAGGGGGACCCCAAGGGCAGCCACACACCTGGAAGGGCTCCACGTGCAACTCGCTGCACAGGGTATTCAGCTCTTTCTGACAAACAGAGATGCTCTTGATGAGCCTTTCCTTCAGGCTTTCCTCTTCAGCAATCATCATATCCAGGAGGTCCTGTGACAGACGGCCGTTAAGGGTGGGCAGGACAGGAACACAAAGCCCTGCCCCTGGTATACGCCTCCCAGAGGTGCAGCGCCCTGGTCCAGGGCGGCTGGGCGGCACTCACCTTGATGTGCTTCTTCACTACCTCGGTTCTCTGCAGCCGCTGATCTTCCGGGATCCCGATGAGTTCCCATATCTCCCGCAGGTGTGTCAGGGCTTTCTGGAGACACACTATGGACTCCTCCGCCAGCACCTCACTGAAACGCAAGGCAAGAGAGACCCAGGGTTCCACGAGCTCCTGGCCTAGAGCAGCAGTTACAGGAACAAAGCGAACTAGACCTGGTGGCCTCAAGGCCAAACAAACCAGAACCAAGCATTCAGCCTCATCCACCTCTGACCACTCCCTCCTTTATTCCTCACAAACCACAACACTGGCAAAGCACAGTTCACAATCACATGACGTGACAGAGCCTCAGTCCTCTGAATAATGTTCAGCATCTGGGAGTGTATCAATGACTCTACTGAAGACATGGACAGTGGACAAAGATGTCAGTAAAAGAGAGCTCTGCAGGCGTTTGATGGTCTGAAAGCTCCCGTAGAGTAGCTGAGTGGGTCACTGCTTTCTTGTCCCTCAGTCACAGCTACTAACTCTGAGGTGACGGACCTGACCGAGTGTCGGTGAGGATACAGGTCAGAACAACTTCCACCTACTGCATGCTAAAAACTGTTGGCAGGGGAGGGAAGAGTGCCAGGGACCACGGTGACAGTTTAGGGTGACGTGGTGATGTACAGGGACACCTGAGGGTGGAAATCAAATACTGCACAAAAATGAGCAATGACCTAAGAAAATTAAAAAAAAAAACAAAACCCAGGGCCTGCTGGCAACAGCTGCGGATGCTGGACCAGGAGCTGCAGCTCCCCCCATGCTTCCTGCAGGAATGCCTCACTCCCTAACAGACGGCACCACCTCAGGCTACTAACGAACGGAACCCACCCCTGCGGAGGGTGGTGTTGCATCAGGCCCAGCGAAAGCTATCACACTCGAGGTTACATCCCGATTTCATTTTATGAAATTCTAGACAGGGCGGAAGCACCGTGCTGGGGCGCAGGTGAGCCCTGGGCCAGCGAGGCTGCTGGGGCGACGCGATGGCTGCACACGACGACCGGGACGCAGACTCGCGTGTCAAATGAGCCCGGTTTGCGGCGTGTGAAGTGTGTCTCGGGTCTAAAAGGTGGGGAAGGAGGTAAAAGGAGCAAAGAATGGGGGGAGGGGGAGAAAGGAAGAAAAGAACCCAAGTGGAGGAAGCCAGACAAGGGGGTGCTCACTACGCAGTCCTTCACAAGGCAGCTGCCTGTGGGGTGCTGGCAACAGACACCCACGGGGATGGGGCTCATCTGCCCATAGTTCTGTACATGCTGTTCAGGGGCAGCAGGTTCTTTAAAAAACAAAAACAAAAAAACCTGGCAGCGCTCCCCTCTCACCCCGCAGGGCCCGCCTGGGGGTCTTTCCTTCACCCTTTCCTGGCCGATACGCCTGCCCTTTTAAAATGGGGGGTGGGGTGGGGGCGGGGAACACAGTAACAAATTTGAAATGCAAATTAACTAGGCCTTCAGTATTTTGTCTAGAAGTCCACTTTAAAAAAAGGCACTCGAGCACCGGTTAAAGCTCAGCACTAGGAAGCTGCCCGTGGCCGCTGCAGCCCGAGTTCGATCCCCAGCCAGGGAGGGGCCCCGAGGCGCAGCGGACCCCTCCTGTCTCCCGGCTGCCCCCTCAGCAGTGGACTTCAGTGGGTCTGCCTGTTCGGCTCCCCACTGTCTCTGGGGAGTCCCCTCACCCCTGCACCTCTGGCCTGCACCCAGTTCCTGTGCACATCGATAAATAAATCTTTAAAAAAAAAAAAGCACAACCAGCAGCCAGCACGACATAACACTTCAGGGGCAGAAATGTTTCCTGAGACACAAATGGCTGCCGGAGACGGCGGGGGCACCAGGCAGCTGCAAGGCCCAAGCTCTCCCAGGGCAGTGGTCAGCACTCGTGTCGCCAGCACGGGCTGCACATTCTTCATGGGTTGGTGCTCACACCCGAGACATTTACAGGTCGCCCAGCCTACGCGAGGAAACACCGCGGAGAGCCCAGCCCCCGGCCAGGCAGGCGGCCGGTGTCCGAACCCTGCCGCTGGCCAGGGCGCAGAGCGCAGCCCACGGCCCCCCTCTGGCCTGTATGCATAAACAAGCAAATCTTCGAAAAAACGGTAACAGGCCACTAAGGTTAGTCGTCAGCCGTCAGCTAAAGTTCAACCTCGGGGCAGAGCCAGAGCCCCTCGGCGCTGCCCGGTCACTCCCGGAGGCCGGGGCCCTCCCACCCACATTCCCCCAAACGCAACGTCCAGCCACGGGCAACATTCAGTCGCAGCCCCTGGGCTGCGCCAGTGCCAGCGCGTGCCCTGTCCACCCTGGCCGGCCCCTGACAGGCTCCCGGGAGAGCAGCACTGGAGGCTCCAGGGCCCTTCTCTGGCGACCGCTGCCCTCAGGAACAGCTGGGCCCCGGGCGTCCTCCGGGCCTCCCCGCTCCAGGCCAGGGACCCCTGGGCCCAGCGGAGCCCACTGTGCCGCCAGCCAGCTGGCGAGGCGCCCGCCGCCCTCGCCCCCAGGCTCAGGGAAAGCGAGGCGCGGGGCACCGGCGCCCAGGGGCCGCCGCCTCAGGACACCGCGGCTGGCCAGAGACGCGCCGGGCGCGGCCGCGGAGCCTCTGGGACACGCCGCAGCTCCTCCGAGGGCTGAAGGGGCTCGCCGTGACCCCACTGGCCTCCACGCGGGGGCTGCTGGCAGCGGGCGCTCCAGTGCCCCCCCCCCGCCCGGGCGGCGCCCACTCCGTCCACGCCAATAAACCATCTGTGGAGGGCGAGAGGCGCCCGCCCCCGCCGGGCGTTTGCTTCCTGCTCGTCCGTGTCCCGGGGAGGGCCCCGCCGCTGGCCTGGCCCCTGGGGGCCTCGGCCGACCCTGCCCCCAGAAAGGCGGCGCCCCGGCGACCCAGGGGCACCCCCAAGCGCTCCGCGCCCCCGCTCACCGCCTCCCGCCTGGGCCCCCTTCAAGTCTCGGCGGCACCGCCTCAGCGAGGGGTGCAGGCCGCCCCCCCAGAGGCTGCGGGGGCCCCAAGCCCTCGGGGCCGGGCCGCTCTGCCTCTTACCGGTCCTCGCAGGCCTCCGAGAGTTGCCTCGGGCTGGGGGCTACGGCTAACGGGGCACCCCACAACGCATGCTGCCGCGGGGCGCGGCCCTCGGAGGGGCACCGACCCCCACCGGCAAGTCCCGTCCCGCCGACGGAGGCGCCGGCGCGCTCGGGGCTGCTCGTCGGGT